TTATTTGTTGCCGTATAGATGGATATATTCAAAATTACTTTGACTAACTCAGAAAAACTAACTGGAAAAGGGTCAAGTCTGAATTGTAATTTATACTAAAGACATTTTGAAATTAATTTGGTGTATCATCAAAAATTGAAAATGCTAGTGGCGAGAAAAACCGGCCTGAAATTTTCTATTTTTTGTTACGAATTCAACTTCTGAAAACCTTGATGAAAATTTGCATGCTAATTTATGCGACTGAATTTTTACACTATTGCAGCTGTTATTTTTTTTCATCTTCACAGCTTTTCAACCTAACTGACAAAAATAATGATCAATTTTTGATTCCGTAAAACATCAGGTCGACTTGTTATTGGATGTTTGAGAGTGCTGCCCATTTTGGAATCCTATTAGTCGCCATTGGATTACTTATGAACAAAGTTTGCTGAAATAAAAAAGGTTCATAACAATGTCATTTTTCTTCAACACTTGTTTGTGCTATCTTATTTTTTCTGACAAACAAAACACAAGGAAGCAAAGTTTTTTCTCGCATTTTCTGATGTGAGCAAAACAAAACACTTCCAGCTAACTGAATTTTTCTTTAAGCCACTTAAACTTGGCTAAAACCGAAACAAGAGATGTTTTTTGCTGATTTGCTTGAATGGGGATTGAAAGTTGAAAAAAAAAGAAAAAAAAGTTAGTCTTGTCATTAAAAAATATATAACAACCTAACAAAAACCAAATATAATTTTTTGTTTGTTTTTAAATTAGTTTGATTTTTTTGTTGTTTTTATTTTTCTACCACTCATATTCGGGTCCGGCAATTGTAGGGTAGATCACTTTTTGGTAGTTCAAGAAAAACGGGTTCCAAAACGTCGATTTACTGAGATTTTATCGTGAAAATAACAGCAAAACGAAAAGATAAAGCATGCAGAAAGTATTGAAAAGTTTCCGAACAGAATCAATCATTAACACAGCTCATAAATCTTAAAATGCACACTAAGTCATAATCGTATCAATTTTTTGCAGCAATAGTTGACAGCAAACACGAAATTTAGCTTTACACTACGAAAGTTTTTTTAGACAATTACTTAATTATTACGTAATTATTACATAACTAATACATAACTATTACGTATCAATTGTAATAACAAGGTAACTGAACCTTTTCCTTATCAATAACTAAATGGATATACGGCCTTGAAGGGGCTCGAACCTACGCCAGGTAGGGCTCGAACTAGATTTGGACTTCAGCTTAAGCCGGTCGGCCATGTGTTCTTATTTGGCTTTGGTTTTACTGCGTTTATGGTTTCAGTTTAGATTTGCTTTTCTTGTATAATTCTAGTTTTCATTTCAAGTGGGAACATCCTCGGGCACCAAAGGAGCGAGTACCAGATAGAGTTTTACAAGATGACGACTTAATTCCCCTGCAGCGGTTTTCAGTAATGCGGAGCAGGCGTTCGCATCTTTGCCAAAGTTCAGGCCGAAGATAGTGCTAAGAGGTAGTATCTCAGTCTAAACAAGAACTCCGGACTTGAGGTCATGTCTGTCGTGTATGTGTGCAACTTACTGAAGAAAAACTCACGGAATGCTGTCCCACGAAGAAGTGATTAAGCTTAAATGCCTCAAGTTCACTTGGATCACTGCTAACAGGTGTAAGGAGACGAGCATTTAAAGACAGTTAAATAAGGCACAAAATGTCTTAGGAACTTTTTCAGTCATTTTGCGAGGTGTGAGTATCGAGTAGAACACTTTCTTGAAACTACCTACAAGACGTTCCCACGAACCACCATGGTGTGGCGCTGATGGAGGGTTGTACTTCCATTGTATACCTTTATGTACAAGAAGGGCGGGTTCGAGGTCATTCCACGCTCGAGTGCACAAAAGAATCTCTTTCTCGGCGACGACAAAATCGTTCCATTGTCAGACCAGATAATTTATGGGGTTCCATGCCTAGCGATAAACTTTTCTCCTCCCATTTTACAAGAGCTAGCGTCCATTGACGGAACAACTTCTATGTGAATGGCTCTTGTGGTCAAACAAGTAACAAAAGTGCCCAACGTTTCTCGGAACTCCAGCGAACCGTTACATAGAAGCGTCCAAAGTAATCTATGCCGCAGTTTCTGAACGGCACCTGGCGGTATCGTAAAAGCTCGACTATCAGTTCAGACATTAACGGTGTGAAGGTTTTCACCTTCCGCTTACGACAGATTAATTTCAATGTTGCGAAGTAAAAAACTTAATTTTAAGCGTGCATAATCCAACTGGATGACGGAACGCAGGTAGTCTATAGATTGATAATCACTTTTTGCAGTGCAGATGATTTACAAATACTTTCACTATGGGGTGACGACCATCAAGTATGATGGGGTGTTTTGTTCAGTCTGAATTCGATTTCAGAAACATGGCTTATGTGGCCTGTGAACCAGAGAAGACCACCAGGACAGATAAAGAGAGAGTGCTGCAAAAGGACTTAAATTACATTTTTCTCAGATCTAAGTAATTAGGTTTCTGACGCGAATGCTTCCATTTGCGAGAGAAACAAGAGTTTCGTTTTTGCGTTTTCGAACTCAGAAGAATCAACATTTCTAAGTGTTGCTTCAAGGTAAGGGCGGAACTTAAGATTAAATCTGAGGATGAATGCTACGGAGCGTAACAGCTCAACAAAAGAGCTGTATTGAGACCAATAGATGACGGGTTTGATTGGTGCCGGGCTTGCAACCAAATTTGATGCAGAGTCAAAAACATCGTCAACAGCACCTTTTAGTGTCATTTTGATGACTACCTCAACATTCGGACAAAAGGCCACTCACGGGTTCTTAGGAATCTTGGACCTTGGGTCCAGCTTCTGTACTTTAAAGATTCGGCGGCAATACCTCGGGTACCCTTGTCTGCGAGATTGTTTCCGATGTCGACATGATACCACTCGTCTACGATGGTGACTCAAAGAGTTTTGCATACTCGGTTTGCGACAAAAATTGGTAGCTTCGATGACGAATGGAGCCACTGGAGCATGGTGCTGTTGTCTGTCTACATGAAGACATTGTTTATTGGGATGATAAGTGCTTTAAGAATATCCTCATTGAGGCGTGTGGCCAGTAAGGCAGCTTGCAATTTTAGTTTAGGGATAGACATAACCTTCATTGGCGCTACTCGCGCTTTAACCAGAATGAAGCAGAGTTTGATCTCTTGAGTTTTCAAAGTGCACGAGCGAAGAAGTCCATCTGCGCAAAAGGTCTCTTGCGAACTCTCGCCAAGCATATGTAATTCAATTTTACTATCTGCAAACGGAAAATAGCAGCGCGGAATTTTGGGTAGTTCAAGAAAAAGGGGTTCCAAAAGTGTTAATTAATTCAAATTTTATCGGGAAAATAACAGCAAATTAAATGGATAATGAATGCAGAGAATATTGGAAATTTTCGGAACAGAATCAGCCAGCAACACAGGCCATAGATTTTAAACCGCACATGAAACCATTATCGTATCAAGTTTTTGCAGCAGTTGTTGAAAGCAAATACCAAAGTTAGTTTTACACAACGTAAGTTTATTGGACAATTACGTAATTTTTAGATAATTATTGCATAACTAATACATAACTATTACGTATTAGTTACCGTAAAGTAACCGAACCTTTTCCCTATTAGCAACCAAATGATCCTACGCCAGGGTGGGGCTCGAACTAGATTTTGATTTTAGCTTAGACCATGAGATCTTATTTGGCTTTGGTTTTACTACATTTATAGTTCCAGTTTACAATTGTTTTTCATGTATAGTTCTAGTTTACAATTCAAGTGGAAACATGTTAAAGTAAGTTTTAACCATTTTCTGAAAATTAAAACAGTCATCATTGAAAAACCAAATAAGTTTTTGTCTGGTTAGGTTTCTGGCTAGGTTCGAACGCGGTGTAACTGTTTGTAAAGTTCGCCTCAGCCGCTTGTCTCTCGTATTTCGTATTCATTGGCAAATACTTCCATTTATATGTGCAACACTCCGCGAGCGGAAATTGGTCGGTTCCTGGCTAGGTTCGAACGCGGTGTAACTGTTTGTAAAGTTCGCCTCAGCCGCTTGTCGCTCGTATTTCGTATTCATCGTCAAATACTTCAACACGAGAAGATTAAGAGCGGAGGCGACTACACAAAGTGCCACCATAATGTACATAATACATAACATGATATAAAAAGGGTCTTGTTCGATGGCTCTTCCTTTTTGTAGAACGACAAAGTCGCCGAATCCTATTGTAGATAAAGTTACGAAGCAATAGTAAAAGGAGTCGAAATAACTCCAACCTTCGTAGTACTTGAAGATGCCCGCGCCGCCGAACATGACTAATCCTACCAGTCCCCAGTTGCAAGCAGTCACTATATGCAATTCGGCTTCGTGCTCTTTGTCTCCTTTTAGGCAGTGTGAACCGAAGAGTGTGAACCGAAAAGTTGCGCTGAATTATATTGGTCACGTTACGTCACAACGGATCCCCACCCCTGTAAAAAACTAACTCAACAGCTAAGCATATACGAATTTTGTACCTAGTTACTAATAAAGCAACATTTCTATTTAAGACAGGGAGCCCTTCAGTTTTGACTGCCAAGTTTCTGAAATTTTCTCTCTGATTGTATCATGCTGCACATTTATTTTTAGTATACTAGACTCCTTTTTTTCTGAAAAAATGCCGCCAATTGCTACTTGAAAAAACAATTTTGAGGACGACACCGTGCTATAAAAAAGTTTTTTTTAAATTGTTTTTTCAAGAATAACCACTGCGACAGAAAGTTTTGCTAATTAAATTCCTCGTTCTAGGGGTTTGCCGTTTCTCAAAATTATTGATCGGTTTCGCTGGTCTGAAAAAAAACGTCTATAATGTTGTATGGTAACAAAAATTTTTGCTTCAAAAACTAAATTGTCAATGTGGAATAATATACGGAGTACTGGTTTCAATAAGCCAAAATAAACATTTCACGTCTTGAAACTAAAGATACATCTAAACTTTAACTATTTTTTCATAATTAATTTGCATAAGTTTAAGGCAAACACAAAAAAAACTAAATTTTTTTTTACAAATAATTAAGTATATTTTAAAATTAAGCGATTTTTGTCAGAATTACATTTTGAAATAAACGTGAAGGTCACGTGATTAGACCAATCCATTTATATGTGCAACACTCCGCGAGCGGAAATTGGTCGGTTCCTGGCTAGGTTCGAACGCGGTGTAACTGTTTGTAAAGTTCGCCTCAGCCGCTTGTCGCTCGTATTTCGTATTCATCGTCAAATACTTCAACACGAGAAGATTAAGAGCGGAGGCGACTACACAAAGTGCCACCATAATGTACATAATACATAACATGATATAAAAAGGGTCTTGTTCGATGGCTCTTCCTTTTTGTAGAACGACAAAGTCGCCGAATCCTATTGTAGATAAAGTTACGAAGCAATAGTAAAAGGAGTCGAAATAACTCCAACCTTCGTAGTACTTGAAGATGCCCGCGCCGCCGAACATGACTAATCCTACCAGTCCCCAGTTGCAAGCAGTCACTATATGCAATTCGGCTTCGTGCTCTTTGTCTCCTTTTAGGCAGTGTGAACCGAATAGTTTTCGCCGAATGTGATTGGTGGATATTTTGATGATGTAGTTGAGTCTGTCGCCGACTGCTTGGTACACTATTAGAGATAGGGGGATGCCGACAAAAGCGTAGGCCATACAGAACAGTTTTCCAGGAATGGTCCATGGAGTCGAGTGGCCATAACCTGGAAACAGTGACCATTATGGAAATTGTACCACCAGAATTTTCACAAAGGAAGTAACTTATTATTTGGTTCAGGGAACTTAGTTTGAAATTTTGTTTTTTGTTCCGACTTTCGAAAAAAGTGACGAAAAATTTATGCTCGGGGTGGTTTTTTCTACTTTACAACTAGCCATCTTTGTTGACATTTTTTGAGTTTTTTGATGACATTTCTAGTCAATCAAATTGATTTTCTGAGCTCTCCCAAACTACCATAAAGAGCTTATTTTGAGAAAATTTTCCGTGCCACGGGCTAATTAAAAAATCGCACCAAAAACCACGTTTGTAAGCTTTTTTGAAAGTTTTTGGCAAAAAAATTGCATCCCATATTGGATTTAGAAAACATAAATGCAAAAAGTTGTATTTGAAAAAGTTTTTGAACTAAGATTTTTTTTATTTAAGAGTTTTTGACTTACCAATAGTGGTGATGACGGTTATGGCGAAGAAAAGAGAGCCCGCAAACCTCCATTGATAGCCCGCTCTATGGGGGATCAATTTGACGTAGATATCTTCCAACTCCTTGAAATCATGAGGCGTCATTTCAGGGTGTTTTTCCTTCACTCTCGCTTCCAGAAGTTTCCTCTGATTAAAAATAACTTCTCTGTCTTGCTCTTCTTGATTGGATTCGAGGAAATCAAAAACGGCCGCGCCCGCGAATAGGTAAAATACAGTGCATATGATGAGAACAACAGTTCGTAAATTTGTAGGCGGGTGAACTGTTTGCGCAGCGCTGTTGTCTGAAATCTTAATCGGAGATCCATACTGTTTTATTGTATGGCCCACAATTCCATAATTATTAGAGTTTTTTCGCACCTTTGGCATGTTGTGATTTTCAGTGACTTCGCTTCCGATTTTTTTTACTTCCTTCTTTGAGTAGGAGAGTGGTGAGAACAAACGTCAAGGCTGCTGAAAACAAGAAAGAATTTTTTGTGGCGTCATTAAAGTTAGTAACGGATTAAAAAGAAACCGTATTTGGAATAAAGAATTAAAAAAGAAACCGTATTTGGTGTAGGAAAAAGGACGAATTGCGTAGGCGACTTCAAAAAAACCGTTAGAAGGCAATTAAAATTTATGAAAAAAAAAAACGGGAGAAGAATTGATTTTTGTTGCTGAAAGCGAATAAATTTGCCCTTTTGGGCAAAATGAAATGAAACTGAGCTGAAAAATTAAAAAGTATCAGTTTTTAAACGCACAATTTCGCGCTTTCTTAATAAACATGATAAATTTGAAAAATAATAGTGGACAATTAAAAACTATTCAGATGCCATGCATGACGCACAGAATGTTCCTTGTAACAAAAATACTAATAAACAGAAAAAAGTGTCAAGTGTTTTTGACTATTGATTTTTTTGAGGGAGGAAGATATTATTTGCAAAACTAAATGACGTCCAGAGTATCTTGATTTAAATTAATTGATTTAAATCATCGATTTAAGTCCAATTTTAATCTTGATTTTAATCAGAGGTGTTGTTCGATTCAAATCAAATGTAGGAAAATACTGACCTGGTCTTTTGTATGAAAGTTTTAAGGCAAAACTGAAAAATGATCAACTGTTTCCATAATAACCTTCATTTCAATAAATTTTCCAACACTTCTTTTGGTTTTTCTAAGATACTTGGCAGTTTTTAAAAAAATCGGGAATCAAATAAGCATCCCCCATACCCCCCCCCCCCCCCCCCCCCCTCTATAGATCAAGTTAAGATACCCACCCCAGCGTTCATTTTAATTTAATCTACTTAGCGCTGCATGTAAAATGCTCTATTCTGATTGGCTGAAAATTCGAGCTCAGAAAAAAGTTGTCACCCTCCCCCTAAACAGATTCGGGGGAGGGGGGAGGATGTTAACATGTTAACTTGGTCCAAAATCGGATATAAAAAAAGTCGATTTAAAGCAAAAAAAATCCGATTCATTCAATTTTCTAAATTTAAATCGGATTTTTATGCAACCCCGAGGACGTCGGAACTTTCTGCACTACTTGCACGGACACCAACTATTCTTGTTTCTTTTTGTCCAAACTAAGTTTGAAGCTTAGCATGTTTGGAAAGAAAACCAGTTGTACATTCAAAATCAGTTTATAAGAGCTACTGTTCCAGGTAGTCAAAATTGGCTGGAAAAAGCAGTCAGCGGCCATTGAGTCACTTTTAGAGCGTGATTGGAACAATAAATTCAAATAAGAAAGGAAAAATACGCACTCTTAGCTACTCAAAGTTGAAATGAATAGTTCAGACCAAAAAAAAAACTGCTGGGACAAACTTTCCCATGATAACAAAAAAATTTAATTTCCAGTCTACCTGTTTTTACGACAACTGACATAAAAAATAGATCAATTTAGAACGAGTCTGTCACATATAAATTTATAAACGCAACAAAAAAAGTTATTAGCAAGGGAAAAGCTAATAAACTCGGGAGAGAAAAATGGGTTGGAAAAGAGCCAAATGTTGAAAGTATTTTCCATTTTTGTAAGCATATGTCCCAGAATTGATCAGCCAACAATTATATCACAAGAAATAAAAATGTCAGTTATCTATATTGTGATATTTGTTCTTACTCTAACACGTCACGTGTTTTCATGTGTTTGAAATAAAGATAAAAAAATTCAGTTCACCAAATAAACTTATCTTTTTTCTTGATGTAACAAAAAGTGATAAAATGTTATTTGTTCACAAAATATTTTTATTACTGAAAACAGAACAAGACTGATTGCGTCAGGGCGAAATGCTGAAAATTCTCACTGCCTTTATCGTCGTTCGAAAAAAAAATTGGCTGAGAAAATTCAAATAAAATGAGAGAAAAAATGGTGAAATGAGAAAATGGTGAAATGAGAAAAAGGGCGTGAGCTTCCAGAGTCGATCCCTATTCCCTACCAGACAAGGCCAGATGGGTGGGGGTTAAAACGATGCCGCACTGGGGCGTGGTGTTCCTTGTTTTCTTTAGTAGGTGGGGGTGGGGTTACTTCTGTACCTCAATTTGGGGAGTGGGGTGGCGCAATCTTTAATTCAAGTCAACATGTGTTCAAACTCTTGTTAAGTCTACGATTTACAAATTGTTACTATCAAATGCGGGAATAATCATGATAACGAGGTTTACACAAAAGGCTGGTGGATTTTTAATCAGATTGTGCAATCACGAACAAACTTCTAAAGTTTTTTTTTCAAAAATTTGTCTCAAAAAACAAACCAAGCTTATATTTCCCACTTTCTCCGATAGTTTAAACAATTAAACAATGACACCACTTGAAAAATGGTCATAGCTTCAACTAAAAACACAGTTGTTCAAAACATTGACAGTTGAACCGAATTGAAAAAAAAAACAGATAGATTGTATACTTTCTGCGATTGTTGATTAATTTGAAAAACAATGAAGAAAATCCTGTTTATTCTTGACTACTAGTTTTAAGGAAAAAACACAAGACTGCTTGTATCAAAAAGTGGAAGATTTTGATTGACTTTTAAATTAACTGCATTATTTTTTAAATCCATCAGATAAAAAAACTTGAAAGTGAACTTGATTTCATGTCTTGTTTTAATTAACCGTTCCACTGCACAAAATTTCAATTACAAAGTGATATATGTGTTTCTTGTAACAAGTAATTTCAAAACAATTAGCTTGCCTCATGTCAATTTGGAATGGTTTAAATTCCCTCACATACTCAAATTGAAAGAAAAATGGTAAAAAGCGCTCAACATTTATATGATTATAGTGATTAAAATGTCAGTTTTCTTGGTTATGATATTTGGGGGCGTTCAACAGTGCCGAGAAAGGCGGAAAAATTTCAAAATAATTTAAACACATTTTCTAAAGAGCGGGAAATTACTGACACTTATTTTCAAAGAAAATCACTCCAATTTTGGCGCCAAAATGTCTGCAACTGCAAATTTAACGGATCATTTGAGCAATCTCTCCCCCCTCCCATTCTCGCGTGGGAGGGGGGAGGGGGGAGGGGGGATAGGTCAAAAGGTACTTCAGACATGTTTATAACCACTTGAAAATAGTTTCAATGATATGAAATCTCCAACGAGTGTGGGACGCAAAATTACATATCGAAGCTCAAAAATTACAAGAGAGTGTAAAAAGAATCAATAAAACTGTAAACTGAGGAATATAAAGCTACCTGGTTCTGTCCTGAAAGAAAAAAAAAGCTTTTGCGTACAATATTAAGGTGCTGCGGAGAACAGTTTTTGCAGTAGCGCAATCGGTCATTACCGGGGGGAGATTGCTCAATTGATCCAATTTAACAATTGTTTTGGCGCCAAAGCGTCTAAATTGCAAATTTTTTCAATCAAAAATTTTAAGTGTCACTTATGATTATAAACGTTTACCGTTTAATTTTTGATTGCCGCATTTAATATGTTGAAATTTGTTCATATTTTCGGCAATGTTGAACAAAGTTTTCATTTTCGGCACTGTTGAACTAATTTTCTTTCGGCACTGTTGTAATTCGGCACTGTTGTAATGCCCCGATATTTTAAACGTTTTTTTTCTGTGTGTTTTCAGCGTTTGAAATGAAGATAAGTTTTTTTGTGTTCGCCAAATGAAACTTATCGGTTTTCATAAATTCGCAAGTGATGAAAAATTATTTATTCGCTAAAACTTGATTTGAGCAAATTTTCAGAATTATCCTAAATTCTGAAAACAGAACAAGACTGCTTGCCAAACCTAAGGATTTTAATTGCCTTCTAGTAGCGTCGATCGAAAAAAAAATCGGTTCAGAAAGTTTTGATAAAAAATCTTTAAAAAAGTTTTTTTATTGAAAATTTTCTTCAATTTTCTATTTTGTTTAACCCACACGAAATCTTTTGTACAATGTCATCTTTTTTTTGTAACGCGTTAAATTAAAATTTGTATATAAAGTGCTTTAAAAACAAAAACAAACTAGACAAAATAGTCCCAGATTGCAACCCCCATAATCTTTGGGAGAAAAAAAGCACCCGAGCCCAAACATTCCATCACTTTATATATATAAAAAAAAAACGGAATAGCAATAAATTGGTCATTTATTACTGCAGCAAATGGAAAAGCACAAAACACCAATAATTTGCCAAGGCGATGTTTTTTCAGGGCCAAAATATCATTTCACGATTATAGATACAACTCAACCTGAAGCTCAAATTTTTTCTGAATAATAATAAATCAACTTTGTGTGCTAATAGTTCCGTTGATAAAATACTAGTTGTGCAGTTTTGTGATGCGAATATTATGCTTAATCAGTCATTATATTTATCATTCAAGCCTGCGGAGAATGAAAGACTTAATCAAGGATAAATTTTATTAAAAGCAAAGCTATAAATGTTGTTTTTTTGTTTTTGTGCATTATAACCCGCTAAATTTCTACTGGTTTGTGCTACCTTCTATCAGGGGCGGATTTAGGGGGGGGGGGGGGGGGGGCGGACGCCCCCCTCCTCAGGGATTCGACCCCCTGCCGACCCAAAGGGTCCCCCTTTGATACTTTTTCAGAAATCCATTTTTGGCCGAGGGACCCTAAAATTTTTTAAAGGCGCCTATGGCGCCAATAAACACTAATTTGAGGGGGAGCGCGCGCCAAAAAAAACGCGATTTTTTTGTCAAAATTTTTCAAAAAGTGCCCAAAAACGGCTTTTTTGACTGTTTTTTCAAAAATTTGCCTCCGGCGCAAAAAAAAATTGCTAAAATAGGGGCAAAACAGTGCTTTGGGAGAGCTCGAAAAACCAATTTGGTCGACCTAAAAAAAAAAAAGGTCGTCAAAATTTTGGAAAATTTTTTGAAATTCCGCCCCCCCTCGAGAAAACCCTAGATCCGCCCCTGCCTTCTATAGTACTGCGGTTTTTGTGTCTGATATAGAGTTGCTGAACGTAGTTCAGACTCATGTATAGGTTGCGATTGTTTTTTTTGTAATTTTTTCATAAAATGTTTTAACATATGGGACAATA